TTATATGTTTAACGTTTGTGTGTATCTATGTATCTGTCTGTGACATCGTAGCTCCCAAACGGATAAAATGATTTAGATTTAGTTTTTGTTTGAAAAGTACTTGATCGAGAGTGCTCGTAGCTATTAAAAAACTTTTCAGCCGTTTCTAGATCACCAGCTCTTCTTGTTTCAGGGTTTTTTTAAATTTTTAATTAAAGTTATTACAAGTATCGAGGCATTACTTGTTAACACAAGGGTTGGTATCCAGAGAAAATTTCGAGAGCCCAAACTCTACAATGTCATAATTCATGTCTAGACCATAATACTATGTAGAAAGAAAATTTACATTGAGAAGCTTGAATTTAAGTTCGCGATTGTCTCTAACAGGCAGCAAAAGGTACATAAGGTTACAACGCTTTTGAATTTTGATTTATAATCGAAGGTAGATGTGTCTATGGACCATAGCATCAACTTAGTACTGGTTGGAGTGTGTACTCGTTTGTCACCCTCACTTCAATAAAAAATCAACTGTGATAATATTTTATTACTGTTAGAAAACTAATATAGCTATGGTTTATATATATCCCCATATAAAACTGTTTGGTGGCTGAGGTTATTGCTTCCAATACATTAAGTTTATTTATTTATTCTTTAATGCATTCCCCTCTACAAAAGAACATAAGGGATGGACTTAATGCCTTTACGCATTATCTACCTGTCACTGTAGTCGAATTACAAAGGTCTATCCATTTTTTTTTGGATATTTGCATTTCGTTGTGATTGAATATATAGTAAGCGAAATACCACTAACTTAGTCACTCATCATGAGATTTACTAAACTATACGCCAGATTGACTTGAAATTTGGCATATACTCCTTTCTCCACGTAGACATCCACTACAAACGGATTTTTAAAAATTCAAGAGGGTGAAATAGATTGTGACAATTCGTATGAAATTTTTGATTTTACGGGGCGATTGATTCCAAACATACTGAACGTATTATTTAAATAAAATATATGAAAAGAGTTTTAGATTTCAAAGCTATCCCTTACGTAGGCTTCAATGGCTGCTCAAATTTGTATGGAGAAAAAATAATAAATGATCTTTTTAATTTGTAATCTGGGGTAAAATCCTCTTAATTATAATACGAGTATGTAATAAAGAACATACTTTTTTTTTCATAAATTTATTTTTGAGGTTTTACAAAATTATACTTTGCATTAAAAATAATAAAATAATTACTAACTTTTCATTTTATGAAAAAGTTATTCTTGAGGTTTAAAATACGGGTGCAAAGTTTATAATTCTGATAAATGATTTATTTATTTATTTGGAAATTTCAACCCTTAAGAGGATGAAATAGGGAGTTATTATTTGTATGAAACTTTTTATTTTACGGAGAAATTTGGAGTGGCTAGAAACTTACTGAAAGCACTCTGTTAATAATGATTACGTATTTTTCGATTTTTCAGAACAACCACTTACAGAGCCAGACTTTTCTCCAATTCAATATTAAAATTTATGCGTTATTTAAAAAACAAACGGCAGCTGCCAACCCGCTTTCCAAGCGTTGCAACTATGGCAAATATGCCTATTTGGCAATCTATTGGGGAGGCCTGTGTTTAGCAATGGACTTTATTAGGCTGTAACGGTAACGTTACGTTAAGTTTTTATTTCCTTGACAACAATGACACCATAATACCGACGTGTTCCGTACAGTGGGTGATGAGAAACAGACCTTTTTTATGAACGAGGCTTTTCATCCTAATCTTTTGGAGTGACTACGCAACAAGATTCTTAATCAATGATGTATATAAGTGTTTATGGTCCACAAAAGTCACTTACCATGAGGTGGACTGTATTCTCGTTTGTCACTCTTTAATTCTTAATTAACTTAAATTTAAAACTTATAAACTTTCAAAAAGAACCCCACCGCAGCTAACAAAACAGCTAATGACCTTGAAACGGCTGAATCGATTTTAATAAAATTTATCTAAAAACCACCGCTAGAAAACCTGCTTTAAAAAAATCCAATAAAATCGGTTCACCGTTTAAGAGCTACGGTACCACAGACAGACACACAGACAGACAGATAGACATAGCGGTCAAACTTATAAAAACCTCTTCTTGCGTCGGGGGTTAAAAAGAGTAAATTGTTTAGAGCTACATTGTGAAAGTATTAATAAAGTTTTTTACTTTACGTGGAAGATAGAAATATTGGCATTCAAAGAGGTGTTGGTCTTAGTGTTCAACATTAAAAAGGTAAGGAACTCTAACTTTAATTGAAACGATTCGTTAGTCGTCAGTTCTATAAATCTAAAAGAATTGAAAGACTGAAAGCTTTTCTATTGTCTTCATTTAATTGCATTAACAAGAGTATGATAAAATTTGTTCTCACTTATTGTTATTTACATTAAAATGACTTAATTTATTTTACAGAATTTTTTAACATTTACAAAAATATTTTCTACATGTAATTTTGTTTTGTTGCTTTTAATATATAAAACTAATATAGTTTTTATTATTAATACAGTTCATAGTGTGATGCGATGGTGGTTTGACTATGTATCTGGGTAAGTATCTATGTATGTGGGTTGGTATTATTTTTAATAGCCGTCTATAAGAAATGTCAGAAACATCACTTAACTTTTTATAACTAGACGGTAGTATACCATCTCACAAATGCAAAATGTAAGATACATGCGCCGGCGAATCAAAGGTATAATCTTTCTAATAACTATAACTATATATAAAATTCTCGTGTCGCGGTTTTTGTTACTAAATTCCTCCGAAACGGCTGACCCGTTTTGCTGGAAAAGAGGCATTCCATCTTAGTTCTCACGGGTGACAACGCATCTGCATTTTGATTCGCAAACGTGGATAGATGTAGTTGTCTATGGGCCACAGCAACCACTTACCATCAGATGGACTGTGTGCTCGTTTGTCACCCCATCCTATAAAAAAAACGATTTGTATGAAATTTTGTGTACATATCGGGTACGTCTGAGAATCGGCCAACATCTATTTTCATACCTCTAAATGATAAGGGTGACCCACCCCTAAATATATTTTTTTTGACAAAAATTTTTACTTTAATTTAATTATGATTTAGCATTAAAATACATACAAATCCAAATTTTCACCCTTCTACGATGAACGTTTGTTTTTTAATCGTGATTTTTATTCTGTTCTATCCACATATCCGCAATAGGGTTGCAAGATGGCAATCGGGGAACGAAGTCGGTCTCCTTTTTCTCACTCTCTATACAGTTTTCGTCCATTTTGTTTTTGGTTTTATTTGTGTCTCGATCGTAGCAGTGACTGTTATACGCCATCATATCATTTTAATTTTTCGGTCCAAGTCTCATTTTTTAATTTTATTTTCATAGTGAATTTGTTTTTATTTTTCTGTACTATTATTATTTATTTACATTTTACATAATTAACATTATGTGAGAATAGTTTTAAATTAAAACAGAAACGTATACGTGTTGAATAAATATACGTGTTTTATTATTGTGAAAAGTAAGTCAAACAATAAGCAAACGAATACAATATTAAGTTACTGTTTTTTCAGCAATAAGAATTTCAAATTGATTTATTTATATAATATTCTATGTCAAAAATGCCAGCAAGCCGCAAAGGGTCCAATTTGAGTCGTCGAATAATCAAATCTATATTCCTGTAAGATAGAAGAGCACAAATATCAGACGAACAAATCCAACAAAACAATGCAGATGTGCGTGTGAGCATGGCGCAGTTACGTGAATCACAATCGCAAGAGGCACGAGATGAACGAAATGAACAAAGACGATTAGAACTAAAAGAAACGCACAGATTCGTAGTCAACAGACGTAGAGCAATTGACCAACAACACCAACAAGTACTTCGAGCATTTACATCAGATTCATTCCTTCGCCTAGCATTCCAGTATGAGCCTGATGTTGAAAATATTCAACTATTATATAATATAAACAACAATAATGCTCATTCCAAAGTGGTCATTGGTACTTTGTACCAGGAATGCCTGCATTGTCATGCGCTTAAATTTAAAAATGAGCCATTCGGGATATGTTGCTCATCAGAAAAAGTGAAACTAAGAGAAATTGAAACACCACCTGAAACATTGCATGGCTTACTTATCGGTACGGATCCAGATTCTAGCCTGTTCCTAAAGTCAATTCGCATATTCAATTCATGTTTCCAAATGACATCGTTCGGAGCAACAGAAATAGATCAAAATATTGCTGCAAACGGTCAACAATTCAGTTCTTCGTTCAAAATCAAAGGCCAAGTTTATCACAAAGTGGGCTCATTGCTGCCAATGCCAAACGTATCTCATAAATTTTTACAAATTTACTTTATGGGTGGCGAGAACTCCGAACGCGCACACTTGCCAATTGCGTGGATGCAGGTTGTGACTTCAATAATCTCGATTCTCCTTTTGCCAGGCGCATCGTCGGCGAGCTGGATGACCTGTTAAAAGAGCACAATTAATTGTTGAAATTATTAAAATCTCACATGCCCAAGCTACAAAGTGACAATCACGCTATTGTCATCAATCCTGATAGAACACCAACTAGAGAGCATATACGTAGATTCAACGCACCTGTTGTTGATGACTTTGCAGGATTCATGGTCGGCGACCGTACAGTTACGCGAAAAATCGTGATTCGAAGAAGAAATAACAATCTTCAGTTCATTGCTGATACCCACCGTTCATATGACGCTCTCCAATATCCGCTAATTTTCTGGAAAGGACAAGACGGATATAGCATAAACATTAAACAACGAGATCCGGTAACAGGTAACTCATTCATAATTAAGAATATAATTAATTTATTATTAAATAATAAATCGTCAATTACGTTAAATATATATTATTACATATGTTCTTGTATAGATAGATAATAATATATCTTCTCAAAAGATTATTATGCGTATCGTTTGACGATTAGTCGCGGTCAAGACAACGTCATTTTATGATGTCGTGAGCTTTGCCAACAATTCATGGTGGACATGTACGTGAAGATAGAGAGTGAACGACTACGATACTTGCGACATAACCAACAGAAGCTGCGTGCGGAAGAATACATTCACTTGCAAAATGCTATTGTGAACAACGCTGATACTGCCGAAATTGGTAACTCTGTCATTCTACCATCATCGTACATCGGTAGTCCACGTCACATGCAAGAATATATACAGGATGCTTTTGACTTTCGTGCGCGAATATGGACGACCGTGTTTTTATTACTTTTACATGTAATCCAAATGGCCGGAAATTACATCGTTGCTATTACGAGGACAAAATGCAATGCAGCGTCATGGCATTACAGCATGTGTTTTTAAACAAAATTTGAAGTCTTTAATCAGCTTTATTACAAAATTACATGTATTTGGCCCCACACGTTGTTAGATGTATTCGGCTGAGTGGCAAAACCGAGGATTACCTCATGCTCACATTTTGATTTGGTTCATCGAAAAAATACGCCCTGAAGACATCGATAGTTTAATTTCAACAGAAATTCCCGATCCGTCGACTGATGAATTACTGTTTGATATTGTTACAACAAACATGATTCATGATCCATGCGGAGATCTGAATGGTTCATAGCCTTGCATGGTAGACGGAAAATGTACAAAGCGTTTTCCTAAAGATTTCACCAACGATACAGTCACACATGTTGACGGATATACAATATATCGTCGAAAAAATACCGATAATGGCGGACAATCATTCATTAAAACTATCAGTTACGCAGACATTGACATCGACAATCATTGGCTGGTACCATATTCACCTCTGCTGAGCAAAACATTCCATGCTCATATAAATGTTGAGTTCTGCAGTTCGGTGAAGAGCATTAAATATATTTGCAAGTATGTGAACAAAAGAAGTGATATGGCTGTATTAAGAATTGAAAATAATAATTTGAATGCTTAAATAAAAATGATGAAATAACGAATTACCAAATTGGCCGGTATAACAGCTCCAATGAAGCTGTCTAGCGTATCTTCGGTTTCCCAATTCGTGAACGGGATCCAGCAGTTATCCATTTAGCCGTACATATTGAAAATGGCCAGCGCGTATTTTTCACCAACGAAACATAAATCCACCAAAAACTACGCTCACCTAATTTTTTGAATTGTGTAATCGTGCGGATGCTTTTGGTGCCTTTGCACAAACACTGCTTTATTCAGAGGTACCACGCTATTTTACATGGGCTCAATCGAAGAAATGGATGCCTCGCAAGCATGGCACACCAGTTGATGATGATGCATATCCCCGTTTATTCAAATTAAATAATTTGGGTCGTGTATATACAGTCAATCCAAGGCGGGCTGAGTGCTTTTATCTGCGACTGTTGTTGGTTAATGTTACCGGAGCATTGTCATTTCAAGTTATACGTAAAGTAAATGGACAACAGTATCCGACGTATAACGATGCATGCCTTGCACTAACTAGGCTTTCTAGAAGACGACAGTCATTGCGACAGTATGCTAGCTGGAGCAGCATTAAACTGCATAGGAAAAAAAATTCGTCTACTATTCGCTATAGTACTGACAACATGTTTCCCAGCCCGAGCACAAATGTTGTGGGATCATCACAAAAATCAATGACTGATGATATTATATTGTATCGACATCGTACAAGGTGCAACGATCTAACGGTATCGTAAGAAAATGTTTGCAGCTTGTGGAAATCTCAAAAGACTTTTGAGACTGGCCTATTTCTACCAAAATTGCGTTAGTACATTCCATTTTCTGCCGACTTCCAAAAAGGAGCCGGTACTCAATTCGACTGTATGTTTTTTTTTTTCGTTTTTTTTTATGTGTGTTACCTCAGAACTTTTTTCTGGGTGAACCGATTTCGATGATTCTTTTTTTATTTGAAAGCTGGTACTTCTCGTGTGGTCCCACATGAATTTGATCAAGGTCAGACCAATAGTTTTTAAGTTATTCTTAAATAACTTATATTGAAGTCGGCTGTACAAAATTTTTAATTTTAAATTATGTTGCCTATTTTAGACTATCCTGATGTATGCTACACTTATATTACCATGGAGCAATTACACAAGCTCTAGCGTCTTCCAAATCTTTCCCTTCGGTTCATATTTGGTTTACACAAATATGACCATGTATCCCAATTTCGAAATCAACTCAAGTGGCTCCCAATTCACCTTTGCCGGAATGTTCATTTACTTTCTTTACTTTTTTGTGTTCTGTTTGATCCGAAATCTCCAAGGTACCTTAACGAACAATTTCACAGTTTGCGTTACGTGTATAGCTTGGCTTTGAATACTCCTTGCAGTGTAACTTCTTTTTATAATAAGTCATTTACTTCACAAGTAAGCCGAATCTAGAATTCATTATCACTTAACATCCAGCAAGCGCGATCTTTACAAGGCTTTTAAAAAACAACTGACGGAGTATTATTTGAATTTCCCGTCATAATAATAAATAATATATATATTTCCTCTTTTTATTAATACTTTTCAGAGATTAGCCGGAACAAACAGACAGACAGACAGACAGACAAATATTTAAACAATTGTATTTTAGTTATCAGTACCGTATTCATATGCATTTGGTAAAAAGCTGTAATTTTGACATTACAAACATACACTTCAATTTTATTTATTTGTATAGATTTCACGTTGCACCTATCCGTCAACATTTATTTCATTGTCCCTTTTTAAGTTCGGTTTGTCAGGTAGAAATCGCTTAAAGCGATATGAACACCGTTTGTAGTTCTTACGTTTTCCGTAATTGTAACGACTTTGTATAAATGCAATAAAGAGTTACCTATCTATCATTCAATAACGCAATGTACAATGAAGCATTGATTGCTATCGAGGATCATTGCATTGCCCTGCCATGGTAAATTCGCACCAAACAGTCATTTCGGTATGAGTTCACCAAATTGAAGTGCATCTGATTTAATCAACACAGATATGAATTGTGAACTGCAGTGTGATACTGTAAAACTGGCAGCGATTGTTAATCGCAATGTTCTACAACTAAATTATGAACAAAAAACAATTTAGGACCGCGTTATGCAAGCAGTTTAGGCGGGGCAAGGGGGATTTTTTTTGGATGCACCATGATAATTGGTGGAACTGGCAAAACGTTCCTTATTTCGCTACTTATTGCCAACATGCGATCAAAAAATGGCGTCGCATTGACCGTTGCATCATCTGACATTGCATCAACTTTATTAGATGGAGGCAGAACAGCTCATTCAGCATTTAAGCTGCCATTAAACATTCAAAATAACCCAGATGCAGTATGCAACATAAAAAAAAATTCGGCAATGGCCACTGTGCTGAAACAGTGTAAAATTATCATTTGGGATGAATGCACTATGGCACACAAACATTCGCTTGAGGCATTGGATAGGACATTGAAAGATAATGAAAACAACGACAAATTATTTGGCGGCACTCTCTTACTTCTTTCAGGTGATTTCAGACAGACACTTACCGTTATAGTGTATGTTATATATATATATATATATATATATATATATATATATATATATATATATATATATACATATATATATATATACATATATATATATATATATATATATATATATATACATATATAGTGTATGTTAAGCGTAGAGTTTAACATACACTGATGAAATCAACGCTTGCTTAAAATCATAGCGACTGTGGCATAATGTTGAAAAAGTACAACTGACAATGAACATGCGCATTCAAATGCTTCAGGATTCATCCGCCGAACCTTTCTCAAAACAACTATTAGATATTGGCAATGGAAAAGTTGCTGTATATGAAAATACTGGATGCATAAAACTGCCAACAGATTTCTGCACAATCATCAAATCGCAAAATACTCTCATCGACCACATATATCCCGATGTACAAACACCATACAAAAATCTTTAGTGGCTGGCAGAAAGAGCGATTTTGACAGCAAAAAATGTGGACGTGAATGGATTAAATGCTAAGATGCAACAGTTGTTGCCAGGGGACTTGGTGTCATACAAATCTGTCGATGCAGTTTGCGATGCCAACGAAGTTGTGAATTATCCAATTGAGTTTTTAAATTATATCCAAGATATGCCAGGCATGCCACCGCACCATTTAGAATCGAAGGTTGGATCTCTGGTTATTTTACTTCGTAATTTGAGCCCACCACGGCTTTGCAATGACACACGATTAGTCATTAATAAAATTAATGAAAAACGTTATCGAAGCCAGCATTTTGAATGGCAAGTTCCATGGCGAAAATGTATTGCTGCCACGAATCCCTATGATTCATACAGATGTGCCAATTGAATTCAACACTCTCGTGAAACGAATATACAGATCATTGGCGTTCCGAAAAATAAGTCCAAAAATTTGCTGTCCTTGGCGACTTTGTTCTACTATTTCCGTCCCTTTGATGGATGCTGGCCAGCAGTGAAGGACTGCTTCACTGCTGGCCGGATGAGGAAGCTCAAGGTCGCTCAGCGAGCTATGGGGAGGGCTATGCTCGGAGTTTCTCTGCGTGATAAACTTAGAAATTACAACAAATTACAACAGATTAGTAAACTGAAGTGGCAATGGGCCGGTCATATAGCTCGAATAACCAACAACCGATGGGGAAAAAAGGTTCTCGAGTGGCGGCCTCGTACCGGCGGACGAAGTGTAAGGCATCCCCCAACTAGATGGAGTGATGACCTGGTGAGATATGCAGGGAGTCGATGGATGTAGGTGGCTGAGGACCGTGCTTTGTGGCATTCCTTAGGGGAGGCCTATGTTCAGCAGTGGACTTGTGAAGGGCTGTAATGATGATGAATGATGATGAATGCTGAAGTTTTATCAGGCTAGACTTAGAAAAATCAGATAAAAATTATCATAATTAAATTGCACTCCATAGAGAAACGTGACGAAATATTGGCGGCGGTTTCCAGTTTCAATAAGAAAAACACGATGGATAAACTTAATTATTCCAATTTGGGATATGGTGGGAATAAATCACCCGTATATGTTTCTGAATATTTATCATATACATATACCTATTTATACATCATTACAAAAAATTACATGCTAGTACCAGAAAAAATGCAGTCAAAAGGGTTGTAAAGATGTTTGGATCCGTAATGGTCGTATATTTGTGCGGAAAAAGGATCCTGCAAAACAAATAAAACGTTATGACTCTCTGAAAAACTTACAATTACAAAACCTGATATGTCATATTACTAAGACCGTAACTATCTCAATAAAATTCAATATATATCATTAAAATTTT